AAAGCATGCATCATCGTCTTGATATTACATATTGAGAAGAAATGGGCTGATTTTATTTTTAATTTCCGTGGGGTGTTGTCTTTGCTTGTTTTGATGAAGCAGGCATATGGCATATGTATATGATGATACCGGTATGGTAGGGTAGGATGGGAGGGCGGATGGGTTGCACGGCTGGCTACCTGCATGATGATTATTTCTATACTTTCTTTTTGCCTGTCCGGTGACCTGTTATTTCTGTGCTTGTTTCTCGGTTGGTCTAGGGTTCCAGGTCCAAGCAACTATTAGTCTACGTAGTCTGTTGGGATCTTCGGAAACCACTGGCTTTTCGTATGTCTGTCTGGCTGTCTGTGTATATGTCGTGTGGTGTTTTTCGGTACCGAGACGAGGGGCATGGTCGGTGGCAGGTGTGTTACCCAGGCGCGGAGAAAACAGATGTGGGATGGGGGTTTTGGGTGTTGATTAGGCGAGCCTTGGCCATGTATCATGCCGTGCTACGAGCTGCAGAACATACTGGGTCAATATGTGAGCATGTGTGTTGGTCGGGCCGGTGTGGGTGGTGTTGGTGGTAGTGCGGCACGCAGGCACGCAGGCACGTAGGCAGGTGAGACGGAGATAGTAGGCAAGATACATAACCTGCTGTCTAAAAAGACCAACGGGAAGTACCATATGTGACTTGCTATCCGGCGGAACTTTCCATTCGTAGTCCGGGGGGAAAACCGCCCGTTGTTTATTTGACGGTTACCTGCATATATGACTATTCTGGATCCTTGTACTGATTGAGGTTGTGCTACCATACGTTAGGGCTGCTGCTGCTTAGGAGGCGTGAAAGGGTGATCAGGGGAAAATATTTTTGATCAGTTATTCAATGTTTCAATATACTTTCGTCTTCATGAGCTCAGGGTCGAGCGCGTTGTCGTGAGGCTGAAACGTGGCGCTATTTATTGAACTCTCAGACCCGGATTGACCATGGATGTTAGTATATGTATGTTTAGGATCTTGATTGTTTAGGATCACCTGGACTGTTGCTAGGTTTCGTTGTTGCCATTTGGACAGCTCGGGTTTATTTATTCTCTTTTTGTCACACCTCATTTCCCCCCTTTATTTTCATAAACACCATTTGGCCATCTGTGAGGACGAGGTCGTTAATGCGTAAACTCGGTAGCTAGGAGTTAAGGGTCCTTTGTGTTCCATACTAACTTAATTTATCATGGTGAAGCATGGAAGCATGGAAGCTATTAGTACGGTATGTGAAACATAGCAAAATGGCTCTGTACATATGCCGAGCAACGTTCAGCTGCAAGGTAAACTGAACTCAGACATGATGGGTGGTTGAGGAACACGAGCTAGGCTAGCTACCGCCTGAACAGCTCCCCGAACCTTAAATTGGCTTGGCGGTGGAGCGACGAGATGCCAGAAACACACTAACCTAAGTGTTTATTACTTTTAAACAAGCTCAAAAGCCGGAGTGATGAAATAAAGATATTGACGGGAATGATATCGGCCCGAGCCCAAGCATAGGGGAATTTCTAATTTTCATGACATAAAAACATCCAACTTCGTCAGTAAATGGGAAAAAGGCAATTGTGCGTTCTAGTTAGAAAGACGGGACTAGATACCTACCTAGTGTAGGACGGCCCGAGGAATGGCTGCCGTTAGGTCATTTCCCGACCCAATGGCACCTACAGGCATCCCATGTCAGCTTACTTTTAGCGGTTATTAGCTGGTACCGTATCCGTACGGCAGTGCAGATGGGTGGGTGGGTGCGGGGAACCTGGAATCCTTTCCGTGATGGAACTCAACCCCACGGAATTTCTTTGAGGATCTTCCATGTTCGAGCCATGGTAGATATCATGTCTCGCCCACACTTCGTCCGGTTGGGTCGCTATTCCGAGACACAATCACGCCTTATGCGTGCAATTTACCTTGTTATATACGTAGCAGGGATGGAAAAAGTCTCAACCATCTGTGGCAAGGTTGTGAGTGTCGGGAAGATGCGGAAAGGGTCTTTTTGGAGGTTGCTCCTGCTGCAGATGCCAGTCCACGGAGATACCAACCCTCGGTGTTTGAGACAAACGGCAAGAGCTCATCAGGGTACTCGGCACCCCAAAGAAAGTACGGACGCCATTCATTTACAGGTTGCCACAGCTGAAGACCACTCAGCCAAGTATCCCGCCCTCTTCCCAAACAATTAGATGATTACGCCATGTCTAACTCTAGCCCGAGAAGAGCATCAGGCCGGCACCACTCAACAAAATCTAGAAACTGGCGGACGCTTCTGTGAATGAGTTCATGAGGGTACTTAGCTGTTCGTCATTTGATATCATCCATTCTAGGCTGCGCAAACTAGGACACGCTAGAAAAAACGACCCCTCATTTGGCCTGGGGTCGTTCTTTCTCTTGCAAGCACGAATATTCGACAACAGAACAAGAAGGTGCAACCACGTGAACCCAAGCCGCTGGGAATTTTCTGGTTCCTCGAGTTTTCTTTTTTCTCTTTCCACCCCTCTTTCAAGCCTTGATCTCAAGTCTGGGTGTAGATCTAGAGCCTGTATTCCGCCCTCAGCTGGTGTCGACGACACTGCCCCTCGGTGGCGTCTGTCAAACAATGCAACCGCCCGAGTTCCTCCCCATGCAAGCTGCTGTGCGAATACTTGGACTGAGTGGTCGGCTCACGGCAAGCGGCAGCGCACAGGGTTCGACTAATTTGTCACTTTCAATTTCACGGCAGTATTTGAGGTGACTCGACTAGCCAGTTCGAGGCTTGATCAATCCCATGATGCAGCAAGTTGCTCGCATTCTATCCCCTAGTCTACCTAAGTACCGATGTAACGGCCAGAAAACTACCAAGCTACCTTACCTTAGGTACTGTACGTACATACAGGTGCCTGGGGAATGTGTTGGACTTGTGTGGTAGCACACCCGAGTCTGGCTCGAACGTTTTTGCTTCTGGTTTAGTCTCCTTTTTGCCCCATCCAGCATTGTCCATGTCTAGAAGTCTAGGGTCTACACACCCCTTTTCCTATGCGGCAGTCGTGCATTCGAGTGATTGCTTTATCTCGGACACGAGCATACCTGCTTCTGGTTTCAGTCGTTGGCCGCGGTCGAATGCACTTTCCCTGCAGATCCACTACAAAACAGTGTTCCGTCCAGTGTCCAGTTGGCGGAGTCTTCCGAACCCATGCACCTCAGCGAAAACAGCAGCGGCCCCTCTCCCTCCCTCCGGCGGTTAATCCATGGACCTTGTTTCCTTCACAGTGTCCAGCTCTCTACTGTTTATACAAATGTGAGGTGTCACTTTTTTGTTTTGGGAGCTATGCAGTACAGCAAAGTCAGCTGCCACATGGTACAAAATTCAACGACTCGACATCCTAGTGGGGGAGGGGGGCACGAGAGAGGGTAGACAGCGCTGCTAGGGAGCCCCCGGGAGGCCATTCTATAAGACACTCTCCCCACCACCACCTCCGAGCCCTGCCTCTTGCCCCCCCTTCTCTCTACAAAACATCAATCTATAGTATGTGGACGATGCTTGTCGCCTCGACCTCTTGACCGACGGGAAGCTGGCGTCGATGAATTCTTGCTGTTACTAGACAGCCTGTTTCTCGAGTGATCACCAGAGGGTTTTTATATCCGCTTTTCCTTGCTCGCGAGGACCAATATCACATCACATCGTCCTCATCCATTCCTTCTTGATTTCCTGCTGTTTTCTTTTTACGTGGAGGGACAGCACTACGCGTCTGGACAAGGGCGAAACAGACGAGCCGATCCGATCCCCTTTGCGGAGAAGGAACCCATACAACCTCATCGTATCATTCGCGTTCAGGCCGAACCACAGCAGTTTTTTTCTCAAACGGGGTCCGCCACAGCCGCCCGTCCTGCAAGTCATAGGCGAAAGCTGAAAGGACTTGGAGAGATAACTCCCACCCTATCTACCTCCTGCTATACACATCATGTGTATGCAGATCGACTATGTCTTTGCCTGCGGCCACCGGGCCTTTGCCAAGTTTGACAACTGCATCAACTTTGGCAGGACCTGCCTCGGCGCAGGGGGAAACCACCAAGACCAACCGGTTCAGGAGATTTGTAGGGACTGCCAGGTTCGGCCTTTCGACCCCAATCCGAACGGAAGGTTGCACGATCCTTACCGAAAGAAGCGATCTGGGAAGGCGAAGTAGTGACAGACAGATATACCCACACACAATGTGCGCATCGTTGTCGTCCGAGCCCGCTCTCCCTCCCTTGGCTCCTGAAAGCCTCTGCCAATATTTTTCATTTTGTTTCTCTGGCAGTGTAAGTAGATCAGTCTCGTTTCAGTGAGTGAGATATAAATAAGAGAGATGTGGCTGATATGCAAGCAACAGGAAAGCACCGATTAGGATGTGATTTTTAAGGAGCAAGATGCTGATTTTTCTGTTCCTCTCTTTTGACCTTTAGCAGTTTCAAGAGAATCTTTTCTTTTGGGGGAAGGGGGGTGCGAAGGCTGGACGAGCGGGTGGCTGACTGGTTTTTATGCCTGTCTGGTACAGATTGGGTGGCTGCAGCAGATTCTTTACATTGTCGACTTTTTTGTTACATAACTGCTTATGTACTTAGATTGTTTTATGACATGAGCAATGGGTTGGTTACTTTGGACGAGGGATTATTGATTTGGAATGAAAGAACTGATGGGCAATCATGCTCATGATGATCAACTTCAACACTCACCTTTGCCATCGTTCTCTAGGCTACGGCCACAAATACTGCGCTGTGATAGTGAGTGGTCAGTTATTGTCAGAGTTATGGAAATAGAATGTGTTTTGCCCTTATGACACATGGTTTCAATCGATAACCTATGCATGATCTGGGGACGAATTCTCCTGACACTGCAAAATAAGACAACTAACAACCAAGTTATCGCTGCCTATCTGCGTGCATCAGTATGGACAGGCAAAAGAAAACCTAAGCCAGGAAAACCCCAAAAAGACATCAGATCTTACGATCTGATGTTGCCGAAACAAAAGTATTGTTCGACGCAGGGATCGAACCTGCCACCTTCTTGGAAGAGACCCAGGTATTTCTACCATTAGATGTGAGCAAGATGTGATAACCACTACACCAGCCGAACTTGCTATTGATAATTGGCGCAGAATCGTGTGCTATGGGTAGACTGCGGAGCTCAAGGTTTTTTTGATGTGGATACCATCACTAACCCTGGGGTCAGTTGAGGCAGGCGTAATCACGCCTCCAAGTAAGGTCCCCAAAACAGTATACAGTGCTTGGGTGCTAGAATCAAAACACTTAAGCGACTTGTTCTGATGTAGAATAGCTGCTTGAGCAAGATTGCTCCCAAAATTCATTCACGATTTTCTATGAACTCGTCATTGAGCTGAGTCGTGATGAAGGGGGTCGCGACGAGTATGCAATGACGTATTTGATAAGCACTGAGAAGCAAATGCTAGATAAATTCCGATTAGTCAGCCGCTTCTTCGTACAATCACTTTACAACCCTGGCAGGCGCTCACGTGCTTTCGCGACCGACGACACCTTGCCTCTTACATCGACAACCCCACGCTGATTGCATAATCCGCGTCATGTCATGGCAGGCGCGAGTGCGCTTGATGACGGGATCTATTGTTGGTCGTGAATTCTAGTTGCAATAAATTTGATGGATTAAAACACTTTCACTTTCACTGTCATCTTTTTCATAATTCATCATGGCAGGCCAAAAGCGCAAAGCACCACCGACGGCGGCCACCAGCAGTCGCAGGGTTACTCGCGCCAGCGCGCGTGGAAACCCGTCAGCAAGCGAAAGAGCCGTCGTTCCAGCTAAATACCGTGAGCTTCTAGCTGAGGTAAAAAAAGAAGTCGCGAATCAGGATCCTGGTTTGAAAGAGCGGCCCGGCAAGCGGAAGCGGCCTGGCGAGAGGACTGCCTCACAAGCCCCCAAGCCTCTACTACGCCTAAACAGCGAGGATGATGATGACAGCGATGAGGACATCCAGTTTGAAGACGTCGTGCTTCCTTCTGCCACGATCCAGACAGCTATCAGTGAGACTGACGATGACACCGACGACGACAATGGCATCTTTGAAGACGTCCAGATCCAGTCTGCGGCACCGCGGGGTGGACAGTCCAGTAACATGGAGCTCACCCTGGATCTCACTGCGCAACAAGCTCTAATGGAACCTCGTCGTGCGGCGGAGAACCGACGAAAGGTTGTCAGTAAAGAGGAGAAGGAGCGCCGAATCCAGGTGCATAAGATGCACCTCCTCTGCCTCCTATCTCACGTGGAACAAAGAAATCGGTGGTGCAACGACCCAAAGGTTCACGATGTTTTGCGGCCCCTCCTAACGGATAAGATGATGAAGTTTTTACACCCAAAAGAAAACACGACGCAGTTTGGACGGACCGAGGCGGTCAAGTCCGGCCTCCAAGACGTCAGCAGCATGTTCAAGGCGAAATTCGCCGTGGCAGAACGGGGCATACGAAGAGCCCTGTGGGCAGAGGAGGAAGAACACCTGAAAAATGTTTTTATATTGGCTCTCATCACATCACACCCCTGACCATGCTTGACTGACACGCGACACAGTATAAACTCCCAGACGACATCGAGTCAACGCTGGATAAGAACGACTTCCTCGACGCGGCAAGAGCCCTACAAGGCTCCCGCGATGTAGGCGCCCAGATATACTGCGCCCTACTCCGAAGCGCCGGCATGCAAGCCCGACTCGTCTGCTCTCTACAGCCGCTGTCCTGCGTCTCCGGCGCTCCTCCAATGCCAAAACCGCGGGCTGGCCAACCCCTAAAACCACTATCCAGAGCCGATGTATACGCCGCAGCAAGAGCCAGGTACGAGACCACAGATTTCTCCGACACCGCCTACCAATCCTCCTCCTCATCAGGCGCGATACCCTCTCCCCGCAGACGCCTCGGCCACCCAAACGCCACAGCCTACATCCCCCATCAATGACAGCCCCCCTGCCTCCCAACACACGCCCAGAAGTTCCCAAAGCAAAGAAAATCAACGGAGAATCGCCATTCCCCGTCTACTGGGTCGAGGTCCTCAACAAGGCGCACCAGAAATGGCATCCCGTCGACTCCCTCGTCACCGGCAAGAAATGGAACCCCCACGCGCTCGAGCCGCCCGCCTCGGACCGCAAGAACTGTTTGTCCTATGTCGTCGCCTTTGAAGCCGACGGCACCGCCAAGGACGTGACCAGGCGGTATGCGAAGGCGTACAACTCCAAGACGCGCAGGATGCGGCTCGACGGGCTTCTCAACCCCTCCACAGCCAGCACAGCTACCACAGCCTCCGCCGGCGGTCAGTTAAGCAACGAGCGCTGGTGGCGCAAGGCACTGCGCCGGTACGCGCGCCCCTGGCCGCCTACGGACCTGGACCAGATCGAGCAGACGGAGCTTAATGCTGAAGAGGCAAAAGAGCCCATGCCGCGCAACATTGCTGATTTTAAAGACCACCCGGTGTATGCGCTCGAGCGCCACCTGCGCAGGAACGAGGTGTTGATTCCGGGCGCGCAGACGGTGGGGACGGTTGGGGCGGGCAGTAAGGCGCCGCTGGAGCGGATTTACCGGCGCAAGGATGTGAGGGTGGCGAGGTCGAGGGATAAGTGGTATCGCATGGGCAGGGTGGTGAGGGATGGGGAGGAGGCGGTTAAGGTGCTGCCGAAGAGGAAGGTGGGGAGGAGGAAGAGGAGGGGGTTTGGGGATGGGTATTTTGATGATGGTGGAGGTGGTGATGATGCAGAGGAGGCGGGAGGGGAGGAGGAGGAGGAGGAGGAGGAGGTGGATGATGATCCTGATAAAGTGGGATTGTTTGGCGAGGGGTTGCTCGACGGCGTGCTTGTTTATACGGAAGAGCAGACGGATCTGTACCGCGCGCCGCCGGTGGTGGCCGGGCACGTGCCCAAGAATAAGTTTGGCAATATCGATCTGTATGTGCCCAGTATGATGCCTGACGGCGGGGTGCACGTGCTGCACGAGCGCGCGGCGCACGCGGCGTTTGTGCTGGGGGTTGACTACGCGCCAGCGCTGACGGGGTTTGACTTTAAGGGGAGGCAGGGCACGGCGGTGCTGAGCGGGGTGGTGGTGGCGCGGGAGTATGAGGAGGCGGTGTGGGCGGTGGTGGAGGGGCTGGGGGATCTGGAGGCGGAGATGGAGAGGGAGAGGAGGGCGAGGAGGGCGGTGAGGATGTGGAGTCGGTTGTTGAGGGGGTTGAGGATTAGGGAGAGGGTTTGGGCGGGGGCGGAGGGGAGGATGAGGGGAATAGGAATGGAGATGGGGGGAGTGAATGGGGGGGAGTGTGGGGGAGGGTGGTAAGGGGAAGAAGGGGAAGGGCAAGGGGAAGGAGGTTGAGAGTGAGGGGGGTGATGATGATGTGGATATGGGGGGTGGATTCGTGAGTGATGTCTCGGAGGAGTTGTTTATGGGCGATGATGATGAGGGGGGTGGGTTTTTGATTGAGTGAGGAGGTCCCAGCTTGATAGGTAGACTTGGCGATATGGTGTTTAGGGGTTCAGGGGCTGGCGTTGGGTTGCGAGGTACTGTACGTACTGTACCCGCAGTTTGTGTGGTGCAGTACAGGGTGTAGGGATTGATGTTTGCGACGTTATACCATAGATTCTTTCGAGATAACCAGAGGATTTAACATCTTGGAACATATCATATTAGCAAGCATAGATTTATGGGCAGTATTTTAGATAGGTCAGGTGGTCAGCTGCACAAAAACTTCTGGATTTGCGGTTGTCATTGACGATCCAGCGCTGTTCATGCAGCCAGGTGGTGCAAGTTCATGCTGGTCGGCAAAAGTTCGGTGGCATTCACAAACTGCGGGTGTGCGATTTTCAACCTCCAAAAACCCCCATTTTGATCTCATAATCGTAAGGTAAATAATTTTAGTGATATCTATCTCACTATTTTTGCTCAGAACGTACATCTTACACACGGTGTACCTGTGAAAACGAAAAAGACACCAAAACCCACAGTCGCTTCATTTCCATCTCGCTCGACATTTCACCAAAAACTCAAACACACCAAACAAACCACCGGCCCAAACCGCCAAGATGGGGGGCGGAAAAGACATGAAGCGGTCTCACAACAAATTCTCCAAAGCACCCGTCAAAGACCCGCGGAACCCAGCATCGAAAGTACCAGTAGTGCTCAAGAAGACGGGCGTTGCCGCCTCCACCCCCAAGCCCGCCCCCGTCCCCATCAGAAACACCAACCTCACCAAGCCAGAAAACTGGCCGCCACACATCTTCTACCTGAGCAAGCCCTTGTACTCACCCAAGCTCACACCCGCCCACCGCCTCGCCGTGCGCACTCGTCCATCGCCAGCCGCAGTACCAGGCGAGTCCACATCATCAAACACTTCCTCCGCAGGCGACCAGCAGCAGCAGCAGACGGAGGAGATCCCGCGCGACTTCAGGCCAGGCCCCTGCGATGCCGTGCGCATCCTGCCCATCGCTGACCCGCGCCACCCGGCCAATGGCCAGTTCGGCCTCTTTGCCGCGCGCCATCTGCTGCCGGGCGAGCTGATTGTGCCGTATTTCGGCGAGATGCACGTCGGCACACCACCAGTACCTTCCCCTAAAGAAGATGGAAAGAAGGACGATGATTCAGACTCAGAAGACGACTACGACTACACGGCCTCGTCATACGACCTCTGGCTCGACCGCGAGGCCGACGTGGCCGTCGACGCGGCGCGCTTCGGCAACGAGGCCCGCTTCGCCAACGACTACCGCGGCGTGCCCGCCGACGTGCCCGCCAACGTGCCCTTTGGCGAGAAGCAAAAGGAGCAGACTAAGAAGCCCAACGCCGAGTTCAAGGCCGTGTGGGACGCGCGCAGGGGCGAGATGACCATGGCCGTGTTTGTGCTGCCGGCGTCGAAGCGGGAGAAGGAGAAGGCGGCGGAGAAGGCGGCGAGGGGGAAGGGGCTGGGCAAGGTCGTGGGCGCGGGGATTGCCATGGGCGAGGAGATTTTGGTGAGTTATGGGAAGGGGTTTTGGGGGGGCAAGAGGGGGGAGGTGGATATGCTGGAGTAGGTTTGACGGACGGGGTGTGTTTGGGTGGGTGGGTGGGTGTTGCCTGGTAGGTACCTAACTCTTATGA